TCGAAATTATCAGCGACATTTTGCTCGATGTTTTCTTCTACTAGTAGATTTTCTTGATGTGAGTGATTCTATAGAAATATTTTTCAAATATAAGTATAATTTTATAAGTATATAGTCAGTCATTATTTGTTGTTAAATCTCAAAACGACTTACATCTACATCTAGTTAAGTGCACTCGCTTTTTAGGGGTTGTTCGAAAATCGGTTCATGCAGAGTATTGAAAAATAGCTTTTTGGAACGTTTTTGGATTTCAAGCGAAAAATTACTAAAACTTAAAGCACGCTTTGGCATTTTTTATAACGAGTAAGTATGTGTACTTTTTACAACATTCTTTATTTTATGTGTGAATGCCTGTCAATAAACAAACTTTATCGAACACATCATAGCTGCAAACGTCACGTTGTTGTTATGTATCTTGCTACGCTTACAGGTTAACATTTTGCTCGCTTGTCAATAGATTTTGCATTGAGAAAAAGTTTTATATTTTGCATTGAGGTAAAGACAAACAAAATGTTTGCTCTGATTTTTTGGAAGGGCATACAAAAAATTAGTATAGTGCCCATCGAAAGTTTGTGTCCTGAGAAAGCTGAAGGAGAAGAAACAAGCGTGCGATACACAAATAAAAAGTTGTATCGAGGGAAAATTTTGCGAAAGAGTTGTAAGTAAAATATCTTTTTCATTATCATGATAAATTTCATCGCATAGCGAATTGATCAATGAAAATACGGTAGAATTACAAGCTTTCATAGTAGTACATACGCAAATTGGAAATTCGCACAATGAGCCGTTCGTTCGTTATTACCTGTGCTAATCTAAATCACGTTTCCTCGAAACGACAAACTCTGGCTTGTAACGTTCTATTAGCGAACGGCGCAAATATTTTGTTTATCTCGCATGAGGATGCATTTTCTTTTTTCTTTCTTACGACTTTTCTAATGTGATAATATTATTACAAATGAAAATAATTTTATGTTTGACAGCTGATAAAGATTACTTAGAGTGCCTACCTGTAACTATCAATGGAGAAATAATGGAGAAAGGGAAAAACACAACAGATTCAAAAGCAGAAGCATTAAGTATGCAGATAAAGAATAAAGAAAAACAAGCTGCAAAAAATAAAGCCGAAAAAGAAAAGCTAACAAAAGCTACTTTGATGAAGGAAAGGTCAATTTTCGAGGATGACAGCGGTGACGATAATTCGGAGGCTGAACCTGACGCTTTAAACAAAACGATCGAGTGGAATTCAGAAGATTCGGAGCCTGAATTAAATGAATTGACATCAACTGCGAGAAATGAAACGCCAGAGGAAAAAATAAAAAGATTACAGAGGGAAATAGAGGAATTGAGAAAATCGAAAGATCGTGCAAGGATCAAGGAATCAATCGCGTCAACTTTTACTGCCAATAAGGTAATCGATTGTTTATATTTTATATGAGATTAAATTTATACTACATTAATCACGTGTTTATCTGTTTTTATTGTTTAAATTTATTTTTCTATAAAAATGCGACAACAACATTTATTTTTTTATTTTGAGTAAGTAATAGCGGTTCTGCGACCTCAAAAGCTATAGCGGTTCAGCGATCACAAAACAGTCTGGATTACTTAGCCCTGAAAAGGGCCCGCATAGCACCCAATCGATTGAGCTCCGTTTTGGGTGCCAGAGAAAATTTTCTAAAGAAAAAGTGTTTTACCCGCGCAAAAAGTTTGATCGGTCTTTGACTTTCCTAACACCTTGACACCTGCAGACACGAAAGTTGCTTTGAGTTTGGACTTTCGCCTCCTTTTCCCATCAGTTTGACACGACCAGTCTGGAGTCTGGATTACTTGCGCGCCAGAGTGATGGGAAAAGGAGGAGCCAGAAGTAAAAACCGCTATAGGTTTTTACATCGCAGAACCGCTATAGTTTACCTACTATTTTGCAGGAGAGCAATCTTCAATTTCACGTAATTACCAGTCCACCACAAATAGAGAATTTGCAAAAACGACATCTTGCCACTGCATTATCAAGGGCAGATGAAGTAAATAAAAAACGTCCACGAGATCGTTCTCCCTCTATGCTATCAGAAGAAGATTATGAAGAAACTGTGGAACTGGTGGGTATACTAACATTTTCCAAACGAGGCTTTTTCGTGAAACGGAAATCCGTAGCGATTTTTCTATTTTTCGAGGATTCTAACTCATTTCAAAATTTCGCCACTTAAAGTGCATTTAATAGTACCTTTACCTTTTAAATTCTAGTGCGAACGTTTTTACACAAGCGAAGCGAGTGCAAAATGTTTGCACGGAGGTTTAATCAATTTTCACACTTATGTTAAACAGTATTTTTTAGTACGACGTGCGGTTAATTCAAAATTATGGTATGTTTTCAGGTTAGAGTAGTGCGCAAAATGAGCATTTTGCGAACTAATACTAAAAATTATTTTCTATTCTATTCTATTCCACAGAATCCGACTAGTACTCCTAAGGAAAATCCTTTAAAAATGTATCGCGGACCAGGAGATGGACGAGTTCTTGTTTGCAAAAATTATAACATATGGGTTGACAAAGGCGAACTGGACTTTATCCAAAGATACATGGAGGATCCTAAACAAATGACAAGAAGCTTATTAACAATTCTTGTTGGAAAAGAAAACTTGAAAAACATATGTGCACGAGGAAAGTCTAGAGGACGCAGAGGAGTTCCTGAGGACATAATGAAATGCGTTGAGTGTAAGTTTTATAGCTTTCTATTTTACATGCGTATTAATTATAATTGTTTTAAATTTTTCAAATTTAAAAAAAATTTTAGATTATGTCAATAAGAAGTGTAGCAGGAGATTGAAACCACAAGAATTCACAAACGTGGTCAATTACATGTGTGGCACACTACGCCACCCCAAAGAAAGATAAATGTTTTCATTTCTATTATTTTTCGTTACTTTTTTTTGAACGCCTTTCAAGAATCAATGTGAGTCTTATTTCGATTACTTTTCGTTATAGTTAATTAATTAGTGTTAATTACTATTTCAAGTTTCACGGATTTTTTATGAAACGTAATCGTTCAAATAAAAACTAAATTAAGGTTTAAAAATTAAATAATATATTGTATTCAAAAAATTATAAAAATAAAGCATTACAGTTCCTTTAATCACTTGTGCCTTGTATTTCTCGTCTCCCGATGTATTATAATAACTTAGAAATATTTAGAATCAAAATAAAAACTGAACTGTTGGCAATATTTTTCAAATCAAATATCAATATATTAGCAATATGTTGGCGCAAGGTTTGCAATACTTTTGTAACATGTTGCCGAAATGTTGCTAAGTGGTCTGAAGCACCATATTGCTAATATGTTGCCAATACCTGATCCAAAATGTTGGCAATATATTGCCCATAGGTGTGGGAAATATATTGGCAATATATTACCCATAGGTCAAATTATTACGCGGGACGTAACCGAAAACTTAACTGGAATACCATAAATTAATTTTTTCTAGGCTCTTGGTCTGAGACATAGCCTGGCTTAAACCTATAGAAAAAAACCATAAATACTGCATATTCACTCGTCAGAAATCATCATATAAAATAAGCAAAATAGTAATATTTCAATTTTCTAAGTTAAGAAAAACTGACATGGAAAATGTGTTCGTACCAAGGAGCAATGTAATTCGATAACGCATACGCGGTCACCTGATTCTTCAACCAAGAAAAAGTCGTTGACGGCAATAACAAAAATGCTCGAAATACCGAAATCTTTGTCTTTAGCATACAAAGAACTTCTTTTTTCATACACAATAATGCGTGAACTTAGTTAACCTAACCATTTTTCCTCTTCCTTCTTCAATTGCTGTTCTTCACAAGGGATTCCATGTAACAAAAAGGCGCGTCTTCACGCTTTTCCACCAATTCTTTTTAGAGGGATAAAAGAAACACTTTTGTTCTCAACAATCGAAGGAAAGAAAAGAGGAATGTAATAATTAATACTCCTTTTATATTCAGAACTCACAATCTTCTTTCTAATCCATAACAAAATTAACGAACGAATATATATATATATATATATATATATACATCTTACTATTAAGAATGAACAGAAACGAACGCATACGAATGCAGTATTCGGGACTGGATTAACCAGGTACGAACTACCCGACTGTTACCTGACGCCTACACTTAATAATTTGGGTGTGAACTATCAGGCGGATGAGCACCCTCGCAGTTCACTATCTATCGCCCATACTACGCCTACCAAGACGCTGCTCGATTACACAAAGAAAACTTAGGTAACTGGCGGACGTACGCCTAGCTACCGAGTGTTATTGAACTAAACTAACGCGGCAACAGGTTTGCCATGACGGGAGATAAATTAGAGAAAAGAAAGAACAAAAACCTTATCTTCTTTTGGCTGGTTGATGGGGTGAAGTAGGGGGTCAAGCAATATTACGTTAATGCCCCTTTTTCCTTATCAGGTATGGAACGAGGAGAAAGCCAGCGGGCGTCCTAAATGCTTACCTTGCAGCAATGGTAAGCCTACCTTGTACCCAGGGGCAGCCGAGTAAGAATTCACTCTGCGTCTGTTCTCAGCTCTTCGTAACCATTGTTGGTCTAATTTTCTTTTTTCTTGTTTACGTCGCATTGTGGGGCTCACACTAATGTCGACTGGTTCGCGGTTACTTACTCACTTGCGATTTCTCTAGTTAGTCCACTTTTTAGAAAGTATGCGATGCAGTTCAAAATAAGTCAAAAACATCGCACGCCTGCTTCGACCTGCATATACCCCGCTCTACTACTCTATCTGTCTGTCTGTCTGTCTGTCTCTCTCTCTCTCTCTCACTCTCAGGCCAATAATTAAGTGCATTCTTATTGTACGCCCAACGCTGGCCAGCATGTCTTGTCGGAGAGCAGAGGGTAGAGGGAGAGAGGCTGACGAGCAGCAGGTTTACTGCCTGCACCGTCACAAATCAGTATTAATTCCAATGAAATGTATTAATTCCAATGAAAAATTTTATGTTACCTAGGGCAGGAGCGTTTTGGTAATATGACCAGAGTATATTACAAAGAAGCAGTAGGGGCATTCATAGTATTTGATGTTACTAGAAGTACAACACTTGATGCAGTGGTAAAGTGGAAACAAGATTTAGATTCAAAAGTTCAGCTACCGGATGGAACACCTATACCATGTATATTATTAGCGAATAAATGCGATCAACAAAAAGATGGATCTTTAATATCATCGAATAGAATCGAAGAGTATTGTAAAGAGAACAATTTCGTGGGGTGGTTTGAGACATCTGCAAAAGAAAATATAAATATCGAGCAAGCTGCAACTTTTTTAGTTGATAAAGTAAGTTTAACTTATCATTATAAAAGCAAATATTTGTATTAATAGTTTCCAATTACTGACAATGATTGTTTTGTCTATAGATCTGATGTTCATAAATATGCAATCTTTTTAATTTATTTATAAGGATTCTCTCCGTCAGTGGTATGACTTAATAATTAAGAATGTTGGTAGTTACGTTCATGGAAAAAAGATAAAGATATTCCTTGAACACTTTCCCGTACCCTATGCCCCTTATATAAAAAGGCAGTATGAGACAAAATTTTATGTCATGTTATTTTAAGTAAATTTTATGCTCAATCAAAAGCTGCACTAATGAGAGAATGTTATGAAATCAATTTTCTCCATCGAAATAAGTGATTCAAACTAACATTGGCTAAGTTAAGCGAATGCTCGATCTTTATTATTTTGAGTCTATGACTACTAGACATGTTAAAAGTTGAAGAAAATTATTATATTATTAAATTCAACAAATTTACAAAATTATATTCAAAGACGAATAATATGAAAAATATATTAATAAAAACTATAATAAAGTTAAAAAAACAAATATTCGTAAATATAAAATGCTTGTATTATGAAACAAAGCACAACATAAAAGCGAACTTGTCAGGAGATACACCATAAATGCAATACATCAAGTACGAGAGAGAAAAAGAACGGCCGTATATAGTCGAAACTACAAACTATCATGTCACCTAAAAACTTGTAGAGTACAGTACAAGATTGCGTTCCAACGGAAGCTAACATTTTTTGGATACGTGTATTTATACTATGTTATTATGTACATTTTTCCAATGTCAGTGAAACAGCAAAGTATGCCCGATCAGATTATGACTTATTCATTTCTCGCGTGCGATGAACTAGCAAATCTGTAATTCGGATCCTGTACAATGAAAACCTTTCCGCTGAAAGCAGCTCTCTCTCTCTCTCTCTGTCTCTCTCTCACCCAACGGTCGGTGTGCTTCAAGTAGTAAGTAAAGTTCAATAAAGTGACGAAGTACAGTTGTATCTCAGCTGAATCGTTTATAGCGTTAGGTGCGGCCTACATTATCATTGTAGATTTTTCTTAAAATCCATAGAATCCGTGGAATCCGCTGCATCCGCAAGCTAGTCAGCACTTGGCAGATAGGCATTCTTCTGAGCTAGTTGAACGCAATATCTTTTATACATCCTAGTCCTCTCCTTTTAGTAAGAAGAACTTCGGTCGAAAATCATAGGATATTATTGAACTACTATTTAATTTTCAGTAACGAAAGATTTTTTGCACCACAACACGATTCACATGTTCTCATTTTCTAATAAATTCAAGTTTTAATTTTTTACGAAATAACATGTTCCATTTTCCTTCTTCACAATTGATTAACAAGATATGAAAAGTCTTAAACTAATACGTACATGCTACCGATGGTATGCACGTCGATTAAAGAAAAGGTTAAAAAAATCAATAACGTTAGCAGAATTAAAAAAAGTCGAGAGGAATTGGCGAAGAGTTTAGGTTTTTCAAATAAATTTCTCTAAAATTGTTTCAGAAAAACTTCACTCATTGCTTTTTTGTTCATGCAAAACTGTTCGCTCGAGACTTGGGACAATGTATCCACTCTGTCGTTTCGACTCTATTTGCCTTTTTTTGCTCGTTGTTTCGGAAAACACGAAGCTTCCTTCAAGCCCAATAATGAAAAAAAGGTCAGTCGCTCATTGGCGCCACAACCAATATCACTAGCCAACCAGCTAATTACTCCGCTCTCCTCGCTGTTAAATCAACAGCGAAAGCCACGTATTTCTCCTTTCATATGACGACTCTCGGGAAAGCGAGAAAGAAAGAGCAAATTCAAAAGTTAAAGAGAGTGATCAGATGAGATCCAAGAGATGGATAGGGAGAGAGAGACGAGAGTCCGAGAGAGAGGGAAGAATTTCATCTCTCTCGGCCTCACGGTGCTCTACTCAAAAAGTGCACATCAAGCACTATTATGTAGGTTTATTGCTTCTGCAAAAGACAGCCTTGACTCGCAGACAAATGTGTGCCTTTTCGTGATCGCGTGATCGCGGAAAGTAATAAATCTGACATTTAGGCGTTCTTACGTGAGAAATCTTGAAATGAGATTTCTCACACAAGTGGTCGCTTAGTAACACCTCAGCGTCTGTAATCTGCTATAGCTTGGGACGTAACACCTCCCTCGCTATTTGGAAAGTGTGGAGCTTGTTAAAGAAGCTCCCACTTTGAAACTACCAACACAGCTTCTCTATTTACGTATTGTATGGACAATCGCTGACAGATCCACCGCTAGGTGGATACTATAAAGGTGTACTACTTCTAAATAGATATAAGGCAATTTTATCACAACTTTATTAGTGAGTGTTTATATAGCTATATATACTCGTATTTATCCATAGCTCGAGCCGCATGACATCCAAAACCGCTGTCTTAACTATCAGCGGGAACTGTAACGTTTCACAGAAGTGATGTTTCGTTAAGTAATGCGCGAATGGCGACAAATCTTCCAGAGGAGTAACCCTTTCTTCTTTCTTTAAGATTTAGGTGTTGTATTATTTTTCCGGCGCTTAACTACTAGGATCACTTATCGCAAGATTAATCAATATAATTTGTCTTTTAACGAGATCTTGAAGACTTGTCGTTTCAAGCTTTCAGAAAAGAAGAACTCTTGCTGAGATAGTGCCGAATTTCATGAAATTTCCCCAAGTTTTTTGTATTGCTGACTAGATAAATTTTTCTATGGTATCTTTTTTTAGTAGATTTCTCAGGTTTATTGTATCTGCGAGGACCAGCATGTCTTTTAAACTTCTTGCTACGTTTTCAATAGTACTGGTTACTCGATAGGGAAGTTTGCATGTTGATGCAAGCGATCAAGGTCTTCCGAGAAGTAAATCCCATCGTTAATGAAACGCTTAATATTCTTGTAGTGCCAAGTTAGCTTTTTGATTGGTTGGATTATAACTGGATTGGTGAGTAGTGATTGTTTATTTTGCGGAGAGTACAACACGTTGTTCAATTTGAATGCTGCAGGCAGTATCGAATTACAGTCCCTTGCAGTTCCGCATAATTGTAGTATGTGCGTCTCCGGCTTCAGGAAAAAATTTCCACCTTTGCAGAAATCTGGCAATTTGTAGAAGCAACTTGCGGATGTATGGAGGCGACATTTGACGGGTTGGTACTGTATTATGTATGTGACTTCAACGACTGTAACTGTCGTGTGTTCCGGTTGTCGCATGATGACCATGGCAAATTCGTCGGGTGCAGTGTATGCCAGCGATAGTGAATTTAATATGACGCAACGTTCGAGTTCACATTTGTGCTTTACTATGTCCTTATATACCTGGAAAAACTGAAGTTTTACATGCCGTGCGAAGTAAGTCATTTTGATGTTAAAATACGCCGATAGTAGTATTTCTTTGATATCAGTTCTCTGCTTAGCGGGAAAAAGGTGATCTGGTTGAGTCTCTACAATGAAAAGTCTGATCTGTTCGGTGGGGATAAGGCGATATCCACATAGATCAAGTGAATCTTCTGTCGCTAGTCTGTACTGTATATTTCCAGTGGAGTTGACGAAGTAAACGTTTAGAGCATGTGTGTGATTGTCAGAGATCTTGACGCCATAACCTTGGTCCAGTGCTTCGTATCTATTGTAATCGTACATAGGTTCTAAACTTGTCAATCAAAAGGCATAGTACTTATCGTTGGTGAAACAGTGGCCGTTTGTATAAATGCATTGTGTGCCGAGAGATAGATATATTTCGTTCCTTTCCTTTTTTGCACTAACGTAAAATTCTTGTACTGTGATCGTAAGCTCTGAGTACGCATACGCGTCCTCATACTCAATGCCGTTCACTACTAGATGTATTCCTTGACATTTTCCTCGGTCGAACAAGGAGTCATAGCTGGTAACTGTTTCACAAGTTGCTGTGTTTACTCTGATGTTTCTTATGGTGGCTTCTCCAATATTATGTTCTCCATACCGCGCTATGTCGAAGCATTCATCCGATGAGATCCTTGTGCTGTAGTTCTCGACACATTGTTGAACATCAGAATTATGAAAGAACATACCGCAGTGATGTACGATTCGCTTAACGCTGATCTTGCATTGTCTTAGGAAGACTCTTTCGTATTTAACTAACTGTAGTAACTGGATGTACACTGAGGTTTTTTCTGGCTTGATATCATCAAATCACAAGATCCAATATCAACAAGAGAGACGGTCGTAACATTGGGTTTTCCCTCACCACATCTGTAGGCAGTAAGCGTAATAGCGATGTTGACGAATGGGAAGAGGACAACCGCCGTTACGATTCTCATCTCGCAATATTTTCTCGTTCTTTCTGCGATCTAAATGGGAGAGAAACATATAAAAGAGAAAATAAATAAACATTCCATTTTATTTATTCACTTTACAGTAGTTCTACTTAAAATCTCCGGTTGTTTTAGTATATACTTGGTATTCTTACAATATTGCCGTAATACTTCAATTTTATTTATTTCAACTTCTTTGAAGTTTCGGTCTTACAATAAAATGTTATTACGATAATTACTAATTCTACCATTTCACGAGATACTCTTACGATCTACTTGTCACTGAGGCGTCGGTATTAGTAATGACATTATGCATGCTATAGTCATTCTCGGTAGAAAGAGTATTTGGATTGTCTTCATGGCTGGGTGATGTACAGAAACTATCTGGGGCAGTAATACCGATTTCACTACATCTTAAGCGAGTCAAGCGCAATTTGTTGGGGTGTATTAGACGACTACCGTTTTTGTACGTAATCTTTATGTTTTCTGATTCATCTTCCACTTCCAGAACCTTGTAGGTGCCTCGATATTGTGGCACGTATTTTCCAGCCCTTGATTCTAATAGTACTGTAACGGTCCAGTCTGATTTGTCTCCTATTTTCTTCTGCAAATTAGCAACCCGTCATACACAAGATAATCAAAGAAAAGCGGTAATGGAGCAAAGGCGCTTTTCTCACGTATATGAAAATGTGTTAGG